CTTTTGGGTCTGATAAGTTCAGTGAAATCCCCTCAGGATTTAAGTGTGTTCAGATCTATTGTGTCTTAGTCATTCATTCTTATTTTTGCTGCTGTCTGCTGCTCTCCTCATTGAGTTGTTGCACTTGCTGTCTGAATACAGAAAGCCTTTTGCTGTAATCAAATTCAGCTAGGCAAACTCCAGAGAAAGTTTCTACGTCCACTGAACACTTGATTGGGCATTATAAAATCATTCTTCACTTCTGCACTCCCAAGCTCCCTTTATTATTTTTTTATTTTTTATTCATTTTAATGAGAAAGTTGGGTTTTTTTGGGGGGGGCGCTGGCTCTGGTTGCTAACTTAAAGGCAGGTCTGGTAAGGCACGTGGAGCTGGGGATGGAACTGTGGTATCCTGCGCCTGACTGTATTTGCATAAGCAGGCGCTTAAACAATTGAGCTAACCTGAAGACCACCTACTCATTTTAATGGGGAAAAAAAGATAAAATAGCAATGATAAAATGAAACCATTTCAAAGCAGATTAGTAGGACAGTTACAATAATTAATACGTTGCATATTTTTGTCTTCATAGTAGTTATTCAAAGGACAAGATGCAGACATGATATCTTGTCTAAACAATAATGTATAAACCTTTTTTTCTCACTGAACTAAGAGAAAGTAGCTGTATATCTATCCTAAGTATCTTGTATATACATATATATTTTTTCACAACAAAATGGTCCTTCATTTATATCCCCCTTTTTTGTTTTGTTTTGTCAGAGATGTGTGTTCCATTGCTGTTAGAGAAGCTGTATCTGGAGAAGCCTTCAAAGGACCTTTTCATACTTGATGCCAGTTCACAGATTGTAGGTATATGAATTCAGCAAAAGTGTAACCACAAAGTATGAAAATTAAAGCTATATTTACTTTTTCCATAGCTCTCATCACCTTATTTTTATACTTTATTTTATTGATTGGCTATCAGACTCTCTGCACTACAAATCAAGGTCCATAAGGACAAGGAGTTTGCTCTTTTTTAAATTACTATATCTTCACCCTTAGAGCCTAGCATCTTGGAAATAACTGATATTGGTCCAGTGAATGTATGTAAAATACCTTAGTCTCCTGAGAACCACCAGTCTTGTTGAGTTGGGAATAAGAGTCCTTTATCTTTACCATTTCAGCTGCATCCAATGTAGAGGAAACTTACCTTGGATATAGCTGCAGCTATAATTTTCTTGATTTAGCCTTCAAATAAATGTTCATTCTAATGTCTGAAATTTTAAGCAAAAGAATTTTTTTCCTATATGTATCAGGTCTAAAAGAGGTTAGTGGATAAGATCTTAGAAGTCCTAGTAGGGTCATCTAAACCAAGACACATATAGGCAGAAAAATCAAAGTAACATATAGGTCTGGGTAGAGTGAGCAATCTAGGAACAGAAAATCCCATCACAATATGCTCAGATGCAGAATGTATCAAGTCTAATAGAACCAGGCCAGGCCCAGGGAGATGGCTCAGTAGAATAAGCACTTGGCTGGCAAGCCCAAGGGCCTGAGTTCAATCTCCAGTTCTGCAAAAAAAATTAAAAATAAAAAATAAAATAAATAAAAGAACCAAGCCAGAACAAAAATGTGAATTCCACAAGAACATGGAAATAATCTGTTCATACAACACACTGATACGCCAGAAATAGTGAATAGCAGAGATTCCCATCAGCTAAAGGGAACTCATGCAACCATTAAAATGCTTTCAGAAGTTGAAAATTATTGGCATATTGGGAAACAAAAAGGAAAATCGGAAATTTCACTTAGTGTATGAAACCGTATTTATCCAAGTACATGTGTATGTACAAACAGATGAAAGAACACACCAAAATGATAACATAGTTACAGTTGTCTCTGGGTACTAAGATTAGAAATTATTTTAGCTTCTTTTTTTAAAAAAATCTTTTTATTTATTTATTTATTTAGTACAGGCTCTCACTCTGCAACTTAGACTCGTAGTGATCCTCTTGTCTCAGCCTCCCCACCACTGGGATTAGAGGCATACGCCACCACACCTGGTTTCTGTAGCCAGCATGGCATGCAGTACCAGGGATTGAACCCGGGTCATTGCACTTGCCAAGCAGGCACTTAGACTGCCGAGCTATCTCCTCCATCCCTGCTTCTTTTAATTTATTCAACTTTATCAGTTTGTCAATGCATAGTTATTACACCCACTATAAAAAATGTCAACCATCTCGTGTTATGAGTTAACCGTAGCTGTTGTTATTTGAATGACATTCCATCATTACTCTTGACCTCAAGATGTGAGCCTCTTGCATAATCTCAGGATGCCTGAGCAAGTCCTTAGAGGTTCAGCTGGCAGAGTGCTGGAGGAGGAGCAAGAAGCTCCTCCTATTTCTCACAGTCACCTCTGACTCTTAAAAACTCTTCTGTCTGCCAGCACAAAACAACAGAGGAAACATCAAAAAGACTGTGTTACAAGACAAAAACAAAGGTAAGAAAGATAGCCGGGGCAGGAAGCTTATGAGGAGCCCTCAGAATTCTAAAGAACATAACTGAGAGTTGGGTTCAGATGTCTAGTAATATGTTACTGAATAATTTGTCTCATTAAATAGTTGCTTCCTCATGTTAAAACCAAGATGCTGTAAGTCCATAAGACAGCTCAGCAAAACCAACTTTTCTCCTTGCCCTCTCCTCATTGTCCAATCCTCAAGTTCTCCCTTTCCTTTTAATTGTGTTATACCTTTCTATTTGTATTTCTTTTGAATTCTTATACTAGGGAGACTATATGATATTTACACATGTGGGTCTGTTTTATTTCACTTATAAGCATATCTTCAATTTGTTTCTCAATAAAATAAAATTAAAAAAAAAGACAGCTCAGCTCCTCTCAAGGGTCAAAGGCTTGAACTTGATTAGTGAGATGTTACTTATTCAATTGGTGTTGCTTATAAAATTATGATGGATACAGTGTTTCGGGCCAATCACTTGACCACTTCTTAAGGGTTCTTTTTCTTTTCAACACAGTGAAACGCTAACGATTGGTTAATTCCCTGTCAGGAAACAATGGCAAAGACGGTGGCAGTAATTGGAGCTGGGGTCAGTGGATTGATCTCTCTGAAGTGCTGTGTGGACGAGGGACTCGAACCCACTTGCTTTGAGAGGACTGAAGACATCGGAGGGCTGTGGAGGTTCAAAGTAAGTGACATCTCCTTGCTGCTTGGATAGGCTGTGCTGCTATTTCAGGGCGAATCATAGCTACTACAGGGACTTATCAAGCAATTTCTTAAGCAACTTTGATCCGATTTCATTTTGAATTTTTTTTTACACAGCTATATAAGAACTGAAGTCATAGGTTGGCAACTCTCCCCAGCTCAATTCCATGCCACGCTAGGTGGCCAGTCAAGATATGCACAGGACTTGTTCTTTTGTGTCTAGCAATTGTCTTACAACACAGATTTCCATCATTCTCTGATCCACTAGTTAGAGAACATACTACAAGGGAATATTTTAATAACTAGAGGTAGCAAAGATTCTTTTCAGGACACCGCTTCTATGTCATCACTGAGCCAAGTGCTTCTTTGCAGTATTGTGTAGCCAAGTGCCTTTTCATCTGTACCCTTAAAACTTCCGGCATTATTTTACCCTGACTCCCCCCCCCAAAAAAAAAGTGACTTCATGCTTGTTTCCTATATGACTCTCAAGCACTTATGGTCTTCCTTATAATCATGCCCTAACTTGCATTCTTATTCAGAACACGGCCACAGTAACTTTAGCATCAGGCATCAGCTACATGTAGGTGAGTAGCTAAAATATTTGAGGACAGAGATGAGCAAAATGTTTGACTCTGTGAAGGGTAGACTCGTGTTAGCAGAGAGCACCCAAAGGGTTCTTTCTACAGCTTGGCCGGTTAGGGAGATGACAACATCATCCAGAATATGGATTTTACCAATACAAACTGAACCGCATGCCAACAGAGATTTCTTTAACACTGTTACTAAAATACGCACAGCCATCAGAAACAGAGGGATTCTTAAAGGTATGCATTAATAGGCTTGCGGGGTCAAACCCTCTTAAATATTTCTAATAAAAATCTATGATTAGACAAATCTAGCAAAAATTGCACAAATACCAGAGTTAAAAATATATTAGTTCAACTATGCAAATACATTCAGAGTCAACAATGCAGGAATTGATTCGTATTAGGCAGGTAGCTTTGCAGAGCAGAGAACTAGAAAAACAGCCTGAATCATATTCATTTCTTCCTAAATACTGATCCCTTGAATCATCATAGGCTTTCCTTGGAGGGTGATATAATATGGTAATCATTCCTGTCTTAACCAAAGCCATGTAGTCTTAGTTCATTTTATGTTCACATGTAGATTCTGAATGAGATTTTTCTTTTCTGGTTTTTCTTTTCTTTTTGTCCCTAGGTGGATTTTTAACCCAATGAAAAAGTGAAAAAATAATAATAACTTTTTGTTACATAATAAATTCATCACTATTGATTTGTTGTCCAATTTGGAATTTATGCCTAAGAGCCAATATTCCCTATTTATCACTAATTTGTTAGCAGAAGAGATGAAAAATACATACAGTGCTCTAGCACATGATTTTATGAATTCTAGGAGGCTATTTCTTCCCCTAAGCTTTTCTGTCATCCTATTCTTTCTTTTTTTTAAAAAATATATTTGGTGCAGGCCCTCACTATGCAGCTCGGACTCGCAGTGATCCTATGAGTTTTCAGCCTCCCCAGCCCTGGGATTACAGGCACGCACCACCACACCAGGTCTCGTGGTCAGCTCAGCATGCCCCATGGCGAGGCTGGTGGGGCATGTGGTGCCAGGGATAGTCCCTGTGTTTGCCTAATCCGCTAGCTATCTCACTGGCCCTTGTCATCCTTTTCTTGATGTCTTATTTCAAGAGTAGAGAAACCTTCCCACTGATTGGAAAAGTTAGATTAAAATCTAATTTATGAATTAATTAAGCCTTATTAGATATTAAAGGATTAAATACACAGTGGTTTAGAACTGGTGAGGATAGTATGTTCCAAATCTGTCTTAATATTAGATTCATTAGAGAAATGTCAACACTTTGATCCACTGGCAGACACGCACAGAAAGAGGCATACAATGGGCAAAGTTTCCCCGGCACCACTGAAGCCACAAGAGTGTCTCATTCCTCAGGGCCATGGACAGCCAATAGAAGAGGCAGAGAAGGGTGCAGGAGCTCCAAGCCCATGCCTGAGAAGCTGGGCCTCTTCAGAACTCTGCCACCTACGATCTGTTTTAAAATGAGTTATCCATTAACTTCTTGTATTTACATTCAATCCTTGGGAGATCACTTAACATACGCAGTGGTGACAAGTTTAACAAAAACAAAAATTATGAAATTCTTGTCTCATGCTTAGCCTAGACAACTCTAAATTCTTCCAAAAGGTTCTCCAGCTCCCCCTACTGTCACTTTTGAAACACAGTCATGGTGGGTAGTCCACCTATTATTTTCCAACACTTTCCAGTAGAAAAGTATTTAGTGTGTGTTGCTTTCCCCCCACGACGCCCACAGGAAGTAGCTCCTATGATTGTCTTCCTTGATATGTGAATAGGAAACAGGTTTAGGATAAATCACTTCCCCATACGAACGTGGCTCATGAAAGAAAAACCAGAAATGAAGATCTGTATCAGGGCTGGGCCCTCACATTTCATAACCTTTCTAAAGTACTAAGAGAGAAAAAAAACATGATCTACCTTCAGTCACTAGCCTGTCCTGTCTCCTTTATTATTCCTGATCCTTAGTATTCACAAAGAAATCAAGTGTATAGTACACTGTCTACCTAGATTGGTCAGTTGCTTTCCCCAGCTCTATGTACTCTGCTGTTTCAACTAATCTTCATATAATATTCTCCAGATATATCTCTATCTTGGTCTCTTTGTCTCTTAAAATGCAACTCCTTCAAGATCTAATATTTAAAGTTAATTTATTTCTCAAAATATTCTTTTACAGATCAAAGAAGTGCTAGGCACCCCATTACAGAATGGAGAATAACAAAGAAGCAATCAGTGCCCTAAACAGATTTATAATCAACTGGTCTGACCATGTTGACTATGATTTATATTGTGCTTGGTTCAAATACTATACCTCCACTAAAACAGTCTAGTGTTGCAATAACTTTTCAACATTTACAAGATAAAAAATTAGCATTTTCCTGATTATCTGCATATGTATTATCTCATTTTATAGTCACCATAACCTCCTACATTATTTATTAAAAATAAAATTTAAGGCTAAAACGCCAAGGATATATGGTATGGCGATTTTAGCATCAGCCACAATATTGACAATAAATACATATGAGCTTAAAATTATGCTTCCTTTCACAATGCATTAAGGATTCATCCTTAGTCGGGGATCAATTAAATCTCCACGGTCTTTTCTACTTAAGCAGTTAGCAGAAGTCACTCCTCTCCGATCATTGTGAAACTAGTTAGAAGAATTTACATCTGTGTAATAAACATTATTTAGTTGGTTTGACCAATGATCAAGAATGTTTACTGCCAGTTAGCTCAGTTGTTTAAGTGCCTGCTTGCACAAACACAGCCAAGCACAGGATACCTAGGTTCGATCCCCAGCTCCTCATGCCTTACCAGACCCACCCTTAAGGCAGCCTGAGCCAGCTCCCGCCCCCAAAAAAGAATGTTTTATTTTTTTTTTATTTTT